TTATTGGTTGAAGTATAAAATGTTTATGTAAAAAAAATGATGAATAAATTATCAGATTTTGAAACAACAACAACAACAAGCTCGAAACAACAACAACAACAAGCTCGAAACAACAACAACAACAACAAATTATTTTTGTTTGATAATCAATTTTTAATTAACATTGCTCGTTTGGTTTGGTTGTGTGTAAATTTATCGTTTCATTTAAGATTTTATCATTTTTTTTTGTTGTTTTTTCAAACTTTAATCACTTTTTTTTTTGGTTTGTTTTTGTTTTCATTCAGTCGAGGAAGGAAGAAGAAAAAAGAATCGAATAAAGATTTCTATTTTCACCCAAACAGGGCTTACATGTGTCGGTGAAAATATCCCGCATTATCACTGAATATACGCAACGGATATTTATTTACGATAATAGGATTTGCTATGTTACTTACTTTTTTTCATCATCCATATTACAATCATTTCTTTTTTGGTAAACTTTAAGTCAAATTTATAAACTAACAAACGAATTACAAACGAATTACAAACGAATTACAAATAAAAAGGATTATATGATTGATTAATAAATAAATAAGGAGAGAAGAGAGAGAAATATGTAAGTAATTTCAACCAAACGAACAACAACAACAACAAAAAAATGAATAATTCTTATTTTTTCATTTCCCTTTTTTATTGATAAAATGCTGAATCATAAATTTTTTTCTTCAATATTCTTATTATTATCATCGTCGTCGTCGTCGTTTTTTTTCTCCCATTTATCATCATCATAATGATGATGATGATTCTTAATAATAATAATAATAATAACCGAAAGTGATGATGAATGATTCTGTATGTTTAAACGGTGGAAATGAAAAGAATTCAAAAGAAGAATAAGTTTGAAATGCGGAATAACAGAATAATGGAATTACAAAGAATTACACAGAATAAGAATTATTATTTTTTATTATAAATAAAATAATTTATTTTACTTTTTTTTGGTTTACAATTTTTTTACAAATTTTTTTTACAAACGATAACAGAAAAATATTGGAAGTAATGATTATTATTGTAGATTTGATTTAGATGTTGTTGTTGTCGCTGTTGTTGTTGTTGTTGTTAATGGTGATGATGATGATGATGATATTAGTAGATGATGATGATGTGAATGATGCGATTGTGGTAGTGCGTTTGCGGATACTTGTTGCGGTATGTAAATATATGATTGTTGTTGTTGATGATTACGTGGTAAAGAATTGAAATCCGTATTACAAGAATAATGTTGTTGCAGCTGTTGCTGTTGATGATGATGATGTTGTTGATGATGATGAACACCTGAATGACGTAATAATGTTGCTGTTGTTGATGATGATGGTTGATGTGGATGATGACCACTATAAATAATTTTTGAATTTGGATCCATNGATGATGATATTAATATCGAACGATTATTATCGTTAACATTATTATCGTTGGTATATTTTCGTAATGGTGATAATTGAATAATGTTGGCTGTTTATAAAATGGGAGAGAGAGACAGAGAGAGAGAGAAAAACAAAAGAAAATGTTCATTAAACTTGGTTCAAAAAAAAAGAGGGAAATTTTCCGGGAAATTTTTTTTTTTGGATGAAAAATCAAAATTCATGCAACAATTCATTCGGAGTTTAGTTTGTTTTTTTTCGAAAAAAAACAACAAACAAAAAAACAACGATAAGATAAACAAAATATGTAATTTTGTCAGAAATATTCTGTTGTTGTTGTTGTTGTTGATAATTTACCTGGAAAAAAAACAAAACAAGCAAAACAAACAAGCAAACAAACATGATGTTTGTTGAACAAACCATAAAGATAAAAATGTTTTCATCCAAAAATCAAAGCCAACAGTTAAACCAACAACCAACAACAAAACCAGCAGTCAAACGAATATAATTTGGTAGAATTGGGAGCGATTTACCAAACACATTATATAATAATAGTTCCAAATGATGATAAGTAAGTAAGTAAGTAAGTAATGAAAATGAAAATATAAAAACCCAAGAAAGAAAAAATATAATTAATTAATTAATTAATTAATTCTTGGTTTACATCTTTTTACAATTCTTTTTACATTACATTACATAATCATTTCATATTTTTTTCTTATTGTTCACATTTTTCTTTGGAAAGAAGAAGAAGAAAACACACTTTCATCATTGAATGATGAATTTTTCTTTGTGGTTTTTTCTTCTTATTCTTCTTTGCTTTGCAAAACATTATCTCACTATTCAGGTACATTAATTTTGTTAATTTAGTTTTTTTTGTAGTTTCTGCTTTTTGTTTTCGGTTTTTTCTCTCGATATTTCTAGGAACATTCTAGGATTTTTTCCAATTCCAATTTTAGAAATGATGATGATTATTATGATGAAATTGAAAGATTATTTATCTAATAACCAAATTGAATGGCCAATGGTAATGAAGAAATGGGTTTTTTTCTTTTCCACATTCATTTTCCTTTCATTTTGTCAATCCGTTGAATGAAAATGAAGATTACCGACCGAATAACCGACCGAAATGAATAACCGTATTATATTCATTCATTCATTTCAGAACTGAAAATGAAAATGAAATGAATGTTTTTCTGAATGAAATGATAAATTATTATCCCATCCAGTGGTCCTTTCATTTTCTTTTTGGATATTTCCAACAAAAGAAAATCGTACTTTCATCGTATAAACATGACATGTTTTCATAATGTTAAGGGAAATTTTCCGAAAAGCAAAAAAAGCGAATTTTGTTTCATTTTTTTAAATTTCTGGGAAAAATTCTCTAGGAAAGAAACTAACAAATCAGAAATGTCATAAAATTTTTTAATTTTAAAAATTTTTTTAAATAAATTTTCCGGCAAATTTATTGCCCGAAATGAAATGAAAAAAATATGCCGGCAAATGTTGAATATTGAGAAAATCAGAACAAATATGGAACAAGAAGAGAGAAAAAAAAGAGTTAAAAGGCGAAAATTTTCTTCGGAAATTCTGTAAACTTTTTAGGAAAATAACAAATCTATAGTTTCGAAATTTTTCAACACAATAAAAAATAAAATTGATGGCGTCAATTGATGATGATGATGGTAGCAGCGGCAATAATCATAAATTTAATTTTTAAATTTAAAAAAAAAATTTTTAATTAAAAATGCAAATTTTGTCCCATTCACAAACATGGTAATATTGTTTTTCTATCCATATTTTGTTGTATTATTAACAACCAAATAAAGAATTTAATCAAAAATTAAATTAAAAAAAGAAAGATTTTTTCCAGAAAAGTTTTCCAGCAATTTGAAAAAATGAAACTAAAAAAAATTCATTGGATACAGTTATGGTCAGTCAGTCAGTCAATTCAGCAAAAATCTGTCAACCTTGTCGATACATATGAAAAGTGAGATGTGAAAAGCGAAACAAAACAAAACAAAAAAAAACTTTTCACTTTTCATTACCGGCTTCTAATTTGCATTATTAAATTTGAAATTTTATTTTTCGTTTTTGAATTTTGAATTTAATTTCAGCCGAAAATGAATTTGAAAAAAAAACTTTCTTGAAACATCGCCAGTGCGCATGTCTTGAATTTGCAAACGAATGAACTCTACAAGAATTATAATTATTGTTTTTTGTTTTGCTCAGGTATTGTTATTCAAATAATCAAAAAATACAGGTAAAAATGAATGAATTTGTATGATAAATGATTGAGAATCATCATCATCATTTGGCCTATTTTTACTCTAACTAGTTGTCCATTAGGGTCAAAATATATTTTTTTTTTCATTCTGTAAATAACAATAACGCGTATCACGTTTCACATATCACACACACAGAGAGATTGTTGTCATCATCATCATCTGTCAAACTTATTGTTGTATATTTTGTGATGTTAGAATTGTAGTAATCCATCCAGGTAATCATCCAGGTAATCAGTCATTTTTTTTTTCTTTGTTGAGAGAATGTTGAAATGAAATTCTACAAAACAAAAAACAAAAGTTGCAAATTCTCATTACGCTAATTGATAACTACCACAAAGATGATAATTGATGATGATGATTCCTTTTTCATTTTGTTCATTTTGGTAAACACAAAAATGAATCATGCTGAAGGGTTAACCCAGGAAATTATGACCAATGTGTTTGGCATGAACAAATACATTTTATTATCGATATTTTTGGAAAAAAAATGTTTTAAATTTTTAAAATTAAAAAAAACTTTTCTGAAAACTTTCTCTCACTACTACTATATATTTGCTTTCTTCTTCTTTTCAACCCCCCCTTTTACACCACACTTCTTTCACCCCACCATCCCCCATTATTCTTTTTATTTCTTTTTATTTGATTTAGTAAAATCAGAAAATTTTATTCCTGTTAATTTTTGTCGAATACTACGTGAACGTTTACGACGATCCATTGTTTCTTTTAAACGTAACATTAATGAATCTTTACGTAAACTTTCTTGATTTTCAGATTTTTTTCTAGTTGTTGTTGTTGATGATGATGATTCTTGTTGTTGTTGTTGTTCATTATTATTATTATTATTATTATCATTATTTATAATTGTTATCTTATTACCAAAACTAACATGTTTTGTTGTTGTTTGTTCTTGTTCCTGTTGTTGTTGTTGTTGATTATCATTATGTCTTCTTTTTGATGATTTTCTACGATGTTTTCGTTCACTTTTTGAACGTTCAACATTACCATGACCACGATGATGATGACGACGACTACGATGACGATGTTTTTTTTTATGTTTTTCTGGTTGTTCTGGTTCTTTTTCTTGTTGTTCCGGTTTTTCCTTATCATCATCATGATGACGATGATGACGATGATGACGACGTTTTCTTTGCGATTCAGTTGATGATGATGATGATGATGCGGATGTCGATGATGTTTCACCTGATGATGATGATGATTTTACTGGTTCTGATTTTGATGTTAATTCTATTTTTTCTACAGGTGGTGGTAATAGTTGTTGTTGTTCTTTTGGAAAATCTTTATTCAATAAAACTATATCTTTTAACCATGGTCTTGTATCTACAGTTACTGATGCTTCAGTTGTTGCTGATACAGAAAATTCTTGTTGCTGCTGCTGTTGTTGTTGTTGTTGTAAGTTCCAATCATCTTGTTGTTGATCAATAGTACCATCATCAGTATCACGTGTATTTCTATTTGCTCCAATCGTAAACGATATTTCATCAACAGGCATAGCATATGCTTTTGATGTTGTTTTACGTAATGAATACATTGTGGTGGCTGTTTCAGGATTTGCCGCTGCTGCTGTTGCTGTTGCTAGTTGAGGTGGTGATAATGATCTTTGTTTTCGTAAACTTCTTGATTTTGATGGATGTCCTAGATTAATAACTTCGATTACTTTGAATGTTGGTGGTGGTGGTACTTGTGTTGCTAATTGCGGTGGTGGTAAATGCGGTACTGATTTTGGTTTCGATTGTTTTCGTAAACTTTTCGATTTCGATAAATGTACAACTTCCATTATTTTAAATGTTGGTGGTTGTGATTTTTCCCTTCTTATTATGGATTTTACTTTTTCAGTCAATTTTGTTGATGGTACTTTTAGAATAGCTATTGTTTGCTGTTGTTGCTGCTGCTGTGGTTTTGATAAACTTTTTTCCATTAAAATTACCGATTTTTTACCCGATGGTATACGTGGTATAATTTTGGATTTTATAATCGATTTTTTCAACAATAATATTGCTGATTTTGGTTTTTTTTCATCCAAAATTTTGGATTTTTGTTGAATTTTTTCCTCTTTTATTGAAGATTTTTTCTTTTCAATTCCGGTAGATTTAGCCACTAATAATTTTGGTTTTTCTTCTTCTGCAGCCGGCAAACGTGTTGATTTAATTTTCAACAATGATTTCGGTTTAACCGGTAATTGGCCATCTTTTTGTAAATCTTTCAACCGATCACTTTTCATTTTTAATTCATCGGGTAATTTTGTTGCTGTCGTTGCTGTTGTTGTTGTTTTTGGTGTTGATGATGCTAATGTTGTTGTTGCTGTTTTTGTTGTTGTTGGTGGTGGTTCGGGTGTTGGTGGTTGTGTTTTTATTGGTGGTGATGTTGATGCTGGTGGTGATGTTGATGCTGGTGGTGATGTTGATCCGTGTGATGATTTTTTCGCTAATAATTTTAATAAATCATCATCTTTTTTAGCAAAACTAGCACTAATACCACTACCGGTAATAATAATTTTCGGTACTTTATCCGATGCAATACCTTTAATTACCGATTTTATACGTTTATCTATTGATGTTAATGGATCATCATTTTGTTTATTAAATAATCTTGGTGATTTTTGACCACCACTACCATAACCAAAATCAGGTGGTGCTGATGATGATCGACTACTACGTTCTTTACGACTATGACGTTTTGATCGTCTTGATTCTTCTCTACCACCTAATGATGATGATCGTCGACTTTTATTTCGTTTTGATTTTTCACTACCTGCTGTTGATTTTCTACTTTTGTCCGATGATACTGATGATCTTGATTTTGATCTTGATCTTCTTGATCTTTCTTTTGAACTTTTTCCATTTAATGATGATTGTGATTTTGATTTAGTTTTTAATGATTTTTTTGATTTAGATGATTTTGATGATAATCTATTTTTATATTTATCTTGTTTAAGTGATTTTGTTCCACCTTTACGTTTTGTAATTGTTGCTGTTTTTTTACGTCCAAGTCCACAAAAATTTCCCATATTTTACAAACAAACAAAAAAAATTCGTTTACCAAATAAGCTTTCTTTTTTTTCCCCACAAATAATAAACTTTCTTTCTCAATTGGATTCAAAACAAAAAACAAAACTTTTACACAAAAAAACCAGGGAAAAAAATTATAAAATGATTACAAAATTAATTACAAATACTATTCGTGGGTATTTATAATCAATTTGTTAACAATCCAAAATTTTCGAATCTTGACTTTTTCTAGTTTTCTAATTGAATTTTCGTTTCAATAATTTTCGATTCTTTTCGTTTTTTTTGTGGATCAAGAATGGCAAACCAGAAAAACAGAAAAAACAGAATGAAAAATCTAAACACAATCATCATTGATTTTTAGAAAAGAATCTTCATCAACAAAGATTTGTTTTACCGATAAAAACAATGTTTTTGATTGGAAAAGAAAAGAGGTGATGAATATATTTTGAAACTGGATTCTTTTCTTTAAAAAGTTCCAGAATTTAGAATCTTCAATGAAAAAAAACGAAAAAGAATATTTCTTTTCGATTATTTCGAAAAGAAAAATATCTGGAGCAAGCAAAAAAACCTAGAAAAAATCAATACACTAATGATGATCATTCTGGCTTTTTTTGCTATTTTGATTTTTGGTTTGTTTGTTTTGTTTTTTGTTTTGAAACAAATTCAAATACAGAACAACGACAACAACGACGATTTCACGAACAATGAATTCACAAACATTGAATTCTTTGGATCGATCGATTTTCACACAATCTTTTCTCTCTCTCTCTCTCTCTCTCTCTCTCTCTCTCTCTCTCTTCATCATTGTAACGCCATTTTTTTAAAAAAATGATAAATTTTACAGAAAACCGAAAGAAGGAACACAGTGAAAGAGTAATTATCGTAGTTTTTTTTCTATAGAAACACAAAACTTGTAAAATTTAAAATCAATAATTTTTTTGAACGCTGGAAAAGATTTTCTTTTCATTCAACCAGCATCTTTTATCTATTTTGGTTGTTTGGTTTTTTCCGCACTTTTTTTTCCAGAATTTCGATTGTAAAAAATGCGAAATTATCGAATGATGATTACCAAAGCTCGGAAAAATCCAGGGGAAAAAAATCTAAATGGTCCTTTTAAACAATCATTACAGGTAATTTTACAGACAGTTTTTCAGTTTTAAAATAATTCCCACGAGTCTATGGTTATCCATAGACTTTTTTGTTTGCAATGTATGGAATTTCGCTTGTCATTCGGTGATCCAAATTGATTGGTGCTAATCATTTATTTATAATGTTTATATGGGGGTGGGATGATGGTGGGGAAATTAATAATAATATTGAACATATGGCGGTGGGGATAATGGTGGTGGGAATAATGATGATGATGATGATGAATAACATTGTAACTAACCATAATCAACCATAATAACCAACCACCATTATGATTATCATCAAAAACAAACAAACACAGAAAAAAAGAATAATCATTAACCATTTGGCAATCAAAATCATTATTATTATTATTATTATTTTTGTGAAAAAATAACCAACGAATAATAATAATAATTATTTACAAACTGAAATAGGTTTTCGGGTTAATTCAAACTAACCTGAAAGTTGATCCGGACAATTTGTTGTTAAGGCTACTGGATTATTATTGCTGGCGGCTGCGGCGGCTGTAGTGGTATTAGTGTTGGTTGAGTTAACATGACCAAATGAAATTGTATCAAAAAATTCCTGATTATGTTGTTGTTGTTGTTGTTGTTGATATAAAACATTTTGAATAATATCTGGTGGTTGTTGTTGTTGTCCAGGTTGACCAGGTTGTCCGGTTGTTGTTGATAAAATATTTACATAACCGGCTGGTTGATTAGTTTGAATTGAATCTGAAGATGCTGATGTTTCTGATGTAAGATTTAAATCATAATAATTTGGTGGTGGCTGTTGTGCAGCAGTATGATGTGATGTTAACCCTGTTATAGATGTTCTTTTAGCAGCTGATGCTGCTGTTAAAATAGATTTATAATATTGATGATGATTATCAATAGGATCATTATCGATTTGTTGTTGATGTTGTTGATGGTGTTGTTGTAAAAGTTGATTATCCGAACACATTGAATTATCATCATCAATAAGATTCATTCCATAATCATTATTATTCCCTGCTGTAGCAGCAGCGAATTCCACTAAATCCATTTGATTATTACGAATATGATGATGATGATGATGATTGTCAATGGCAACCTCATCGTCGTCATCATTATTATTCTGCTCCTGATTATCATCAGTATTTTCATTAGTTAGAAATGTTGTTTCAACAATATTCTGGTTATTCAAACTTTGATTTGAACGTGACAATTTTTGCTGTTGATGATTTTTTCGTTTAAATAATCCACCACCACCATTGCTGCCAATAACAGAGGAATTTTGTTTCTGTCCAACCATCATTGTTATCATCATTGTTGTTGTTGTTGTTGCTGTTGAATCTTCTAAATTGTTTTGTTGTTGTTGTTTATTTGTAATATGTATCATTTTATCATTCAGCATAATAAATTCATTATTACCATCATCGTTATCATTAGCAGTATTCATTTCTTCAACGTTTGCTGCGGTTGTTGTTTGTTTTAATCGTCCATTACTGTTGTTTGACGTCAACAAATGTTCATCATTCAAATGATGTCCTTGATAACGGGTATTTTGTTGTTGTTGTTGTTGTTGATATTTGGAACGTAAAATTGCAATCGTAATCAATATTAAAGCAATAATAACCGTTATAATAACCGTTGATATTATTAAACCAACAACCATATGTTTATTACGAAAACGGCCATAACCACCGAATAATTCATCAAAAAATGATGATGTTTTACGAATACCGTTACCGCTGCCACGTGCTGTTGAAATAGTCGAATGTTGATCATGACTTTGATGATGTTCACCAAAATCAATACGACGTTCAGCTGCACGTAATGTTTTTGCTTGCAATTCAATTTGTATTGGTGATCGTTTACGATTATTTTGTGCATAAATATTCAAACGTATCGGAGTGTTTGATGGTAAATCATTGATTAAAAAACTAAAACTACCGTTTAATAATGGATTCATGATACGTTTATCGATTGCATCGATTGTTAGATTCTAGAAATATTCCGAGAAAAAGAAAAAAAAGTGATAAAATTTCCCGAGAAACTTTCCAGGAAAAAAAATATTTACCTTTATCAATGTTGGCCTTGGTAAAAGTGAATAAATTTCACAAATATAATATGTTGGTGGATAAACTAATAGATGTGGTTGTTGATTTAATGAATGTGAATTAAATTTTGGTACTAATTCATTTAGAAATAATATTGATGATTGAACAGCAGCAGCACGTTGTTGTTGTTGTAAATTACCGGCTGTTATTGTTGTTGTTGTTGTTGTTGGATAAGGACCAATACCATTACGATATGTCATTTTGATTGATTGACCACCACCATCAACTGATGATTGACCATCATCGTTGTTACCGGTTGTCGATTGTGATTGTAGATCCGGTGCAAAATACAATGAATAAATGTCGGTTGTAGTCAGATTAGTTGCTAATGAAGAATCTAAATTATGTTTAGATTTTTGTTTACGATAACTTTGATTATATTTCAGTCTGGTCGTTGTTTTTTGATCATCATCATCTTGGTCATCATTATCATCAGAATCACCCGAAAAGATTTCATCGGATTCTTCATCATCACGATGATGACCATGATGATTAGATGTTGACCATGTTGATGAGGAATGTTTATCGGTTGATATTGATTCTTTATCGATCAAATTCGATTGATTAGTCATCGATGATGATGATGATGATGATAATGATCCATCACAACGTATAGATAATGTTGAATCACTTTGATTTGAAACCAAACATTCATATGGAAAATATGGATTTGTAACCGGTACAATTAAATACCGGCATGGTTCACGTTGAATACCGATTGAATTTTTTGCTGTACATTCAATAAGGCCATATTGATCACGTTGTCTTGGTACATATTCTAATATTGATCTATTGATTTCATGGTTTAAGAAAAAAATTGAGAAAATTTTCAGTAAATTTTGACAGAAAACAAAATTCCGGAAAATTTCCGAAATAAAACACACATTAACAGGAATTCTTTCGAAATTTTGTTTCTGTTTTTTACAATTTTTGAAAGAATCATAAACAAGATTCTGACCATGTTTCTATGTTATGTTTTGGGTTAATATTTTTTATTATTACTATAATCATTTTGATTATCACTATTCTTGTCATCTTGGATTCTGTTTTTTTCTTCTTTGGTTGGTTTCTGATTCTGTAGATTATAAAGATTGATAGCAAGCAGTAACAAGCAAAAGCAGAAGCAGCAGCCAAAAGATAACAAAAGGTTACACAAAAAACTTTTACACAAAATACTTACTTGGTTTTATTGATCACAATAAAATTGGCTAAATTAGTATGTTTTTCAAAACGCCATTGAAATGTAATATCCGTATTAGGACGAGAATCGATTTCACAAATAATCTGTATGATTTCGTTCAATTGTAGACCATAAATCAATCTATATGATTATTATTATAAGAAAATGAAAAAAGAAGAAGAAACGTTTTAAAAGATAAAAAAATTAGATGAAAAAAATCGTTTATTTTTTATTTTGGTTGTTAAGAAATGAAAAATCGCAAAAGAAAAGAATCTGGACCAATTTTATCATCATTATCAAAGAAAAGCAAAAGGAATTGAAAGAAACAAAAAACATGTTTTTTCGATCATTTTTTCACAATTGGCTTCTTGGAATCCAAAAGAGAAAGTTTCCAGAAAAATGAAATGAAAAACGAACAAACGATTGTATGGGGATTAAATATAGAATGATGATTTTAGAATGATGACCAGAATCAAATGAAAGAATCAGATAATAATAATTATTGTTATTATAAAGTTATTAAAGCACATCATCAAACAAACTACATTTATTGACCAGATTTGGGGTAGAAATAGTTGAAAAAAATGGACAATTACATTACATGGAGGAAGAGAAACATTCCAGAAAGACATTTCAACAAAATGTGCGGTCGAAATGAAATAAAAAACAGCTTTTTAAAAAAGTTTCTTCATTTCTTTTCTTGCTTCAAATGAATAATGATTAATGAAAGAAGAAGAAGAGGTTATCCCCCCCAACAATTACAAGAAAAAGTTCTTTGATAATGAATGTTTTTGTGTTAAAGTTTTGACCAATTTCTTAAAAAAGTTAAAACCGTGTCAGAAATGGACAAATTTCTCTCTCTCTCTCTCTCTCTCCTGAAATTTTGTCGACCTAATTTTCTTCTTTTCGGTATTTTCCGGTTTCTCGGTTATTTGGTTTTTCGATGAAAAGAGGAAAAACTTTCCAATTTTGTTTTTGACTTTTAGAAAAAAAATTCTGATTGAACAAAAAAAAATTTTTTATCAAATTTCGATTTTTCGATTTTTCGATTTCGGTAATTATCTTCGGTGAAAAGAGAAAAATGATCGGGAAAAAAGAAGAAATTTGAGAATTTCTCCATTTTTTTCTCTGTTTTTGATTATATATTGATTGGAACACCGTATTTGGAAGATTACCTGTAATCAAAGAAACAGAAACCGAAAATTTTGATCGAAATTTTTTTTTCGTTTTGAAAAAAATAAATCACCTTTTTTTTCGAATGAAAATTGAGATGAAATTTTTCTCCTCTTGGGTGTAAATAGTGTTTTGGAAATGAAATCACATCGTATACAGAAATTACCTGATTGAATTTCATCATTTTTGAGAGAGAGAGAGAGAGAAAATAATAATAATTTTCGGCACTATTTTCACTGATGTTGGTCGATGATGATGATGGAAATATTTGGCTAAATAAACACCACCGACAAAAATTCTAATCTTTTTCTAGTTTTACAAAACGAGAAAAGCATTCAGTTGTGATAAAGCAGTGTTAAATTTAGTGAAAAACAAAATTGTTCTGTGCTTTTTTTTTGAAATGATAATCATTTCTTAATGTTTGATAATCAACAAAACATTAACCAACACGAACACAGCCAAAAAAGTTTTCATCTTAAAATGTCATCATTTGTTGTGAAAAAAACTTTTTCTATAAACAAAACAAAACAAAGCGGAGAAAGTTTCCCGGAAAATTTCCAAGAATTCTTGAATATAGTGATCAAACATTTTTTGTTTACCGAACAAAACTAAGAAAAAAAAACTTTATGTAAATAAGCATCTTTTGGTGGTCACCGATACTTATGGTTTATGATTTTTGTTGTTGTTGTTTGTTGTTGTTGTTGCTTGGTTGGATTATTTTCGGATGCAATAAACAACAACAACAACAACAAAATAAATCTACGACCAAGGCAATATGTCAACGGCAAAAGCAAACATCGCACATACACTATGTAATGATAATTGATATGATGAAATACATCGTTGTTGTTGTTGTTGTTACGAGAAAAAAACGACAACAACAACAACAACAAGCTATTATTATTATTATTATTATTTCATTTTTCCGTTATAGATTTATAATCGGGTAACAAACAAACAACAACAACAACAACAACAGAATAATAATTTCCTATTTTTTTGTTGGTTATTTATTATTCAAAAAAAAACCATAAGCAAACTACTGCTACTTTCATTGTATAAACGGAACAAGAAAAAAAAACGAGAATATTCTGTTCTTGTCATCATCATCATCATCATCAGCGTAATCGGTAATCATCATCATTTACCGACATATTTTTCATTTCTTTCTTTCTTTCATTTTTTTGGTCCAAAGAAACAACAACATTTGACGTTTCTGGAACAACAAAAATATGAATATTCTGTTATTGTTTTCGATGGAAACTGGTATTTGTGAATAACCGTTCGGTTAGCGAAGCATTATTCTGAATTCTGATTCTGACCGGAAAAGTTTGTTTGTTAGGAAATAAAGAAAACTTTGATAAGAAAAAAATGAATGAAAAATGTTATTTACACAAACAAACAAACAAATGGATTGGACAACAACAACAACAAAAACATGGGACAAAAATGAAAACAAGAAAGGTGAATTGATGATGCTAAAAACATTGAATTCTTAGAAAAATTCTTCAAAAAAAAAGCTAAAGAATTTTGAACAACAACAAACAAAAAAAAATGGAAAAAAATTCTTTAGAAAATTTCAATGTTTGTTTGCTTTCTGTTTTTCATTTGTTTAGTATTTTTCTTTTGACCAATGTCCAATTGGTCATCATCATCATCATCCGCATCACAAGTTTAATAATTTCATTCATTCATTCGAATTTTAAAGTTTTAAATAAATAAATCATGGAAAAGAAACTTAGAAAAATTTTAAAATTCAAAACTTTTGAAATTGAAAAAATTTTCAGAATTCAACGTAACCGACCAACCTGACACTGTTCGACAATGTGATTGTTATCGATCGATCAATTGATCACTCTCACTCTCTCTCTCTCTCTCTCTCTCTCTCTCTCTCTCTCTGCGATCATCATCAAAAATTCTTTACACATGTTTTCATTACCGAAAAACGAAACGAAACGAAACGGAAAAATCACACTATTATCACAATTGAATTCTGTTGTTGTTGTTGTTGTTTGTTCAATGATGTAACGAATTTTTTTTNAGTGTTCGTGATATCGCTCGCTCTCTATCTCTCTCTCTCTCTCTCTCTCTCTCTCTCTCTCTCTCTCTCTCTGCGATCATCATCAAGAATTCTTTACACATGTTTTCATTACCGAAAAACGAAACGAAACGGAAAAATCACACTATTATCACAATTGAATTCTGTTGTTGTTGTTGTTGTTTGTTCAATGATGTAACGAATTTTTTTTCCAATGAATTTTATTGAAAAATGTTTGATTTGAATTTTAAAATTATTTTTTTTGTTCAATAATCAAAAGTATTGATGACAACAACAACTTGCTAAATTTGAAAATCAAATTTTCCGAGGAAGAAGAAGAAAAAGAATATTCTGCAAGTTTTTCACTCGAGAAAAATATTGATACAGTGTGATGATACACACACACACAAGTTTGACCAGTTGTATAAATTCTTTCGGGAAAAAATTCTTGAATGAATGAATGAAGAAGAAGAAAGAAAAATTCAAATTCAGTGGACAGCATTCAACAAACATCGAACCTACTAAATATTCTGGTTATACCAAGAAAAACAACAACAAAGAATTTCATTCAGAAATTTCTGGATTCCAAATTCAATTCAAGAATATTCTCTGTTTTTTTTTCGCTGTAAATAGAATATATGAAATGTTTAAAATTCTAAACATGAAATACGGAATAACAAAAAATTCATCTTTCTGAAAATAGCGGCTATTTTAACATAACAGGTTACAATTTTCTTTCTTTTGATGATGAAATTCTTTACTTTTTTCAAACAAATTATCGGTATAAAAAAAAAGAATTCTTTTAGAAATAGACTTACGTGTATGGATAACGACAAACAGGTGCAAATTTAATATCCAATTTTAATTGATTACTTAATGATTGTCCTTGTTGATTTGAACATTGACATTGATATGTACCATTACGCCAACGTTGTACACGTTGTAATACTAATGATTGATTGCTTTCAATTATTCCTGTAGAGCGTTACGTTTGTTACGTTCCGTTCCGTATTTCACCATTTCGTTAGTTTTTGAAAAAGAAAGAAAAAGAAAAGAAAAAGAAAGGAAAAAAATGAAAAATAGCCAAAATTTGAATGAAAAATGAGTCACATGATAATTTAGTTTTTTGTTCAATTTTTCAATTTTCTGGCAGAATTTGCTAAAAAAAAGTAAAGTAAAGTGAGATAATGAAAATTTTTTTTTCTGGAAAGTTGTTTTTATTTTCAACTTGGAAACTTTTCTTTTTCTTCTTTTTTTTCTGCCAGTTAGTTTTGAATAAATAAACACTCATTCCATTGGTTTTATCTATTTTTATGAAATCAGCAGCAAAAAAAAAAAATTCTGCTTCTGTTTGTTTTGCAATGGAAAAAACAATTTTTTTTTGAGATTTACCAAAAACAGAGAAACAAAAAACTAATTTCAACACCGAATATCTTTGAATCTTCGAGTAACAAAAAGAAAGAAGAAGATGTTATGGAGAAGTGAGAAGAAAAAAAATGCCAGAACAACAAAACAAAACGGAAAAATGTTTGAAAGAGAGAAAATTTCCAGAAACCAGAAATATTTCCAGATTCAGTTGTAAACAAAAATCATTAATTTTGGTCTTTCTTTCAAGATTAAACCAAAAAAGAAAAAGAAAAACTTAATGAATTTCTCAAATGGTCATTTATTCGTGCTTAGGTAAGGTTAATTTTTTTTGCAAGAAAACAAAAACAACCAAAAATCTGGGAAAACTTTATGGAAATTTATATTTTCCCGGGAAAATTTCTGAATATACAGAAACTATAGTGGTTCCTAAAAATTATTATTATTATTGTTTTGATTGGTTTTTCCACTTTTCCAAGAACGAAAAAAAATCATTATTAATTAATTCATTCATTTATCAAACCTCAATATATCGACTATATCGACATCGACGACACATTTTCTTTGGTTTCTTGACTATAGTTTTTCTTTATTTATTTTGTGAAAATAAAAAAAAACGAAAGAAACTTTCATCGAAAGAAAAAAGAAAAAATTTCTTTCAACAACCAAACGACGACATTATTATTATTGTTTTTTTTTTTGGGCAAAGCGAAAATGTATCGTTTTCATTTTGGGCTTTTTTTTCATTTGACTTTTTTTTCATTTTGGTTTCATTAAAAGTGTGTGCCTGCCTGTTGTGTGTATTTTGCTTGCTGATGTTTGTATTTGGCTGGCTGGTTGGTATTCATTAGTATCATTTATCAATGTTATTTTGGCTTTTTCTTTCTTTCTTTCTTTCAATGTTTGCTTGTTTGAATTTTTTTTTTGGGTGAAAATGATGATGATGGTAGGTGGTGGTGATGTAATGAAAGCAAGAATAAAGAAAAAAAAATCAAAAGAAAAAGAAAAGAAATTGGTAATCGATGTAAACGACGATGACGACCTAAATTGTAGAATAATGTATGGCGTATGTTGGTTGTGGCTGATTGAGTAACCTTCTCTTATGTAAGTATAAAAGTATAAGTAATATTGATAAGTTATAAGTATAAAGTAAAGTAATCTTAACGTATACAAGACATATTAAATAACCAAAAAAACTAGACTAGAAAGCCAAATATTTGATGACAGAAGGAGAGAGAGAGAGAGAGAGAGAGAGAGAGAGATAATGTATGGCGTGTATGTTGTAGCTGATTGAGTAACCTTCTCTTATGTAAGTATAAAAGTATAAGTAATATTGATAAGTTATAAGTATAAAGTAAAGTAATCTTAACGTATACAAGACATATTAAATAACCAAAAACTAGAAAGCCAAATATTTGATGACAGAAGGAGAGAGAGAGAGAGAGAGAGAGAGAAACATCAATTTTGGTTGAAAGTATCGATAAATAATAATAATAATAATAATAATAATATTTAAGCCAATCAACAACAACAACAACAATGATTTTATCATCATCATCATCATCAAAAAGAAAAGAAACATTGTTTAGATAAGAATCCAGTTAATAATAATAATAAAACGTTTGAATAACTCTCTCTGTGTGTGTCGAAATAGTTGATTGTGTTTTTTTTTGTGGTTGTCAAATATCGATTTAATCGATACAATCGATGTTTATGATTATCGAAAATCAAACGAAAAAAAATGAATGATTGGAAAGTGTGTGGAAAAATCGAAAAACAAAGTGAATCAATCGAACAATCCATGGATTTTGGGATTTTTTGGGGGATGTACATATTGCAAGTTTGCACAAAAAAACACAAAAAAAGTTATTGTTCAGAACTTTATGGATGCTATTTGTGTCTATATCGGTGGTGGTGGTGGTGGTGGTGGTCGGTGTTAGAATTTGATCAATCATTTTTTTTTATAAACATTTATTCTTCATTTGCCTTTCGTTGATTACTAATTGATTTTTTCTTTTGTAGTTTGTAGTTTTTCTGTGGTTTGAATCGAATATTGAATGAAAAAATTTTTTGTTTTTTTTTGAGTAACATTGTGTGGGCAAAGAAATTCTGTAGATTCTATAGATTCTGTTCTGAATGAGAGAAACAGAAAGAAAGAGAAAACCACATCAATTCAATTTTGGAATTTTGAATTACGATCAAGAATCACGTGAATTATTATTATGGTTTTGGAATCGAACGAGAAGAATCGAACGAAACAAAAACTGATCGAAACTCCTGAAAAAAAATTTGATTGATCGATTTTGATTGATTGATTTTTTTTTTGTTTTTTGTTTTCTCTAACTAACCAAACCAAAACTAAAACCGAGAAAACAAAAAACCAAACAAAACCAAAACAACATTAGTTTTCTTTTATCACCGATCATCATAATCATCAGGGATGGATATTTACTTTTATCTTCTTTTTTTGAACACTGACCAAGAAACACTGACCATTATTGTTTGTTTTATTCAACCAAAGAAAAAAATGAATTTGGTTTTTGATTTTTGAATGCAAATTTTTGAGAAAATCGAGTAAAACTTTTTTCCAATTTCCAATTCTATGATATTTTATTCATTTTTGAGGATATTCAATTGAGAAATTCAACAAACTTTGAAATTTTTCAAATCGAAAAATCGAAACAAAGAAAGAAAGAAAAGGAAAATATGTTGCCCAAACAAACATCAAACCAAACTGGCCATCATCATTATCATCATTTTTGGAAATTTGTAAAAAACGAGAAAAAAAAACTCTCGGGCAATTGAAAAATAATTTGCCAAATGTGACACAGGTTTGTAAAATTGTCAAATTGAATAGGTTCTCTTTTTTTTTCTCTCTCGAAAACACCGATTCAAGGAATTCAAGCAAATTGAAAATCAACAACAACAACATTAACGACAACAGAAACAGAAACGGTAAATCTTTCAAAATATTTTTTTCTGATCAATAAAGTAGACCGAAATTGTCGTTGGTTATCAAATAGAAATTTTCATTCTTTTTTTTGTTTTGTACATTATTTTCACGGTAGGCGAGAGTGGGGTGGAAAAAGAAATGGGAAATTTTCCCGGAAAAAAAAAATGAAATTTTCACAGAAAATTAGCTACATTTTAAAAGAGCTTTTTCAATCATCATCATCAAAAACAAAACGAAATTGGTCAAACAAAAACAAAATAGCTAAAAATTTTATTTCAGTTCGTTTGATTGTTGTGAAAATTGAAAAATTGAATTTTGAAAATATCTTTTTTTTTTCTCGATTCTGGTACATTACTGCTGCTGCTGCTGCTGTTTGTTTTAGTTGAAAGAATTTAGTTGAGTTTTGTTTTGTTTTTCTCAATTTGATTTCTCTCTATTTATAGTCAGAGAGAGAGAAAAAGGAAAATTGCCAGAAACTTTCAATTTTTTCTTTTCTTCTACTTGGATGATTTTGGAAACTTTTCTTCTTTTTTTTTGGCTGTTGGATCAAATAGGATTGACTTTATCATCACAGGAGGTAAGTGGTGGTGGTTGGGTGGTAATGTGGGGGAGGGGAGGAGAGGGGGATTTGGAAAATATAAAATGTAGCAATTTTTTTTCTCTCCCTGAATCAAATCGTCCATATCGGGTAATTACTATTATGATTATGATTTGACAAAGTTAAATGGAAGGAAATTTTCCCAGTAATTTTTTTTTTCTTTAATGGAAAACTTTCTCAAACAAAATCGAACCAACAGAAAAAAACAGGAAGCAATAAAAAAAAAGCTAAAATCAACCAAACCAAAAATGACAAAAATGACAAAAAACCTGTCAATTTTCATCGTTTTTTTTTTGATTTCATTTTACCATTTGCTTTAATGTCATCATCATTATCATCCTGATGATAATGATAATGATGATGTTAAGCTTCGTTCAAGTGGAAGGAATGAAAACTATTTTTGTGTGTGTGTGGAGGTTTTTGGTTTGTTTGTTTGGTTTTGTAAATGACAAACAAACCAGCAAAACATTTGACATCTTGTTTTGCCCAAAAAAATTTTTTTTCCCTCCCCCCACAAAATAACTTTGACATTCGCTTAGTGTATTTGTCGTTTTTTGATTGGTTTTTTTTGATCTGGTTAAATGGACAAAGTCAGTGAATTGTACAGTTTTTCGGAAACTTTTTCTGGTAGAAAAAAAGTTTCCGAAAACAATCATAATTACAATGAGAAATGAGAATTACAAAACAAACGAAAAAAAAAAATTTTTTATTGAATCGAATTGAATTTAAACATTTTATTTTTTTTTTATTTGGTCAAAATAATAGTGTAGCGTCATTTTTCAAAGTTGAGTTTCAACGTTTAGTGTTTGGTTAACAAAGCACTTACTAATGGACGATGATCGGTAAAAACTGTGAATTTTCTACCTTTCAAATAAATATTCAAAAATGATAAATTAAAAGAAACAAGGCTGAAAGCTCTTTACAGGTAAAATTAATTCGCTGTCTTTCAATTTTGAAATGAAAGCTTCGAAAAAAAGGGTTCAAAATGAGTTTTCACCAGTATGTATTTTTTGATGCAAAAGTGAATTTTCTTGATGTGTCACTTTTGTTTGTTCATTA